TTGTATTGTAAACAATGGCGTCGTCAATATTGCTTATCAATTTGAGCCCGAATGAGACCCAGAGAATATTAGTGAAGAGGATCGCACAGAACCTGTGCAAGAACGGCTCTTACAGGATGTTTCAGAATGGTATGTTTTTTTGTTTGTTGTTGTCTCATACTTTTAGGTACGCTGTTGCGAATGCTACTGCTTATATGTTAGCTTCTAATATACTGTTTCATCCTGATTAAAGCTTTAATACAGCAGAATACATGATTGCGTTGTAGCATTTTTGTAACAGTAAGAAGTGTTTGCCAGCAAGTATTGCTCGCAACCACGGCAACCACGTGCGCATCCATGTTTAATGCTTCTCGTAGCTATGTTAAAAATATCTGCCTGTCTATACACATAAAAGTGTATAATTGGAACACAGTTCACTGATGGAGCTGACGAGCTAGTGATCTGAATAAGAGAGAGAGAGAGAGAGAGAGATGCCGAGCAGAGTGTGTGCAGAGCAGGGGGACGCAAGGAACAGGATTAAGAACCGCTGCTTTAGAACATTGATTTTGAAATTTGTAAATCCATTAGAATCGTTAGAAGACAGAATCGCGATACATATATAGATTTTTTCGTGCACCCCTAGTTTTGACGACATGGCAACAACTCTTCCTCTTCTCTAAAGCGGGGCAACATGGCCTCGCCCCCTTTGTTGCATGTTCCTGGTGCGGGGTTTATGTAAATTTCTGGGTTTGTGATGTCACCAACCCTGGAAGTAGCTCGTTGTAGTCCCTACGAGCCATTATTGTAGGCATTAAACACAATGGGACAATGGCTGGGTTGCACCAACAAGGATTAAGTTTAAATCTAGATTAAATCAAGGTTTATCTAATAATTCTGTTGCACCAAACTTTAAACCTTGCTTAAAAATAAGCAGGTTTACATTTAAACCATCATTTTGATCCTGGATTTATTTTATATTTAAGATAGATTAACTTTAATCCTGTAGCTCCATAACTTTAAACTCCGATTTAAATCTCAATTAGGGATTAATTTAAAATTTAGGTGAGGAGGTTTAAATAAAATAAAGTGCACCTACAGTTACAATATGTGGCTGATTGAACAAAGACAGAAGCAGTGGGTGAGTCGTCAGGTCTCAGAGAGGTGTTTATTGCAAATAAAAATGAAAATTAAAGTGCATTGAACTGGCAGATTGTGAGGGTCTTGGCAACCCGTAGTAAACTTATGTCTGCTATCGAGTTGGTGATGTGGATCCATCACTCATCTCGATGCATCTCGGCGTACAACAAAGAAGATAGGAATATGCTGTAGCTATAGCATTTAACGGCAGCGGTGATGATTAAGTGAGCGCCAGTGATCGCGGCCATGCCTCTCGTTTCTCACGCCTGCTCCACGCGGCTACTGAACGGATGGGGCGACACTGTCACGAGCAGAGGTCACTCCTTGAATCATGCCAGTTGTTTTCTCTAATCTCGGTTGTCATAAGCTATATTCCATTAATATACTACAAATATATAGATTATGAAATCCGTATGCACTGCCTCAATGTTTTCATTGCTTGCTTGATCAGCCGTTTGACAAAAGCAAATTATGTCAGAGACAGAGGATAAGGAATATTAACATTTGTGCTGTTTAGTTACATGATGAATCCATCATGGCGGAGAAAGTTAATCGTAGATGGAGGTTTTAATCGCAGGTTGGAATTTTAATCCCCGATTTGTTAATCCAAGTTTAAAATTAAGTGGTGCATCACAACTCGATTTAAAATAAAACCCAAATCAACAAATCCTTGATTAGCTCTAGACGTTGTTTAATTTAATCCTGGTTGTTGCAACCCACCCAATATCTCCGTTTGTATTGAACTTTCAGAGTCATAACCTTGCAGATATTATTTATGCTCAAAAAGCAACATTACACACTAACATAACTTAAAAGAGTGAAATCGCAATCAACCACCCCTTTAAATACCTGACAGCAATATCTGGCAACACTTTTGGGTAGTCAGTTGGGTAGGTGCACAGCAATGTAATGCTCACCTATCAGGAAAGAAAAGAGATTGAAAACAAAATTAAATGATGAGGAACAAATCATGTTTTAATGTATTTTAATGTATTTCACATACTTACAGCAGGGTTCTCCATCTTCAGCTTGATGCTGAATTGGGGTCTGATGCTGGGGGGATTATGAGCTGTGCCCTCCACATAAGCTCTGAGCTCTGCATGTGAAAGCTCATCCACTTGTAACTCTTCTTCACTCGGAAACATACTTAATAGCAGCTCTATCTCTGCAAATTGTGCCTTTGCTTCCTCTGAGCAAGTCATATTCTCAGCATTTGTGTATCAAGCTCAAATCCAGAATGCTTGTGGAATGCTAGTTCACACATTTCTGCCAAGACAACAAAAACAGAATTAGTGGATGCAATGGATGTAAGCATAATTCATAGTTTTCATGTGATGTCACACCCTTATAGTATATACTTATAGTATACTATATACTTTTTACTTGAACCATGGCTACGGATGGCGATCAATGATATTAGCCGAGGGCAGTCGGGACGGAGTTGAAAATGAACACATCAACTCGGACACTTTCTGCTCCCGGTAGTGTTCACACGGTGTTTGCATACTCTATCACAGATGAAGTGAATTAAATGCAATATTTGTCAAATACTCAGATGTTTCAGAAACGTTTTCATGAGCAACAGAAACACTTTTTATACTGCTTAATACAGCGCCATCTGCTCAAGAATAAAGTTCAACATAAATATATTCTATTTAAATACCAGTAAAGTGGGGGTAAATATGCTTTGATCAGTGTTTTCGGTATCGGCTCTGATACTGGCATTTTCTGCCGGATTGGGTTTCGGTCAGACGAGACGGATCCAAATCCGATATTGTGTGTATACTATTCTGTTATTGTTAAGCCGCATGAAAGGCACAAAAACATTATAAAGCACCATAAAGTTTTCGTGCACTATATTCCAAGTGTTCTGAAGCCATTCCATAGTTTAATGTGAGGTAGGTGAAAATTTAAGTCAAGTTCATGGAAACTCTTCTCTCCGCTGTGGCTGTCTGTCATCCTCCATTCAGCATTCAAACTGCGTGTCACGTTTCGACAGTCAAGACGATGAAACTCTCCAAGAGCGAACAGTAACTGAGATTTAAAACTGTTAAAAGAAAAGGCTCAAACTATTGGACAGATTTAATACACTATGCATTAATATCTCTTCACTTTCTGCTTTGAACATTTCTATGCTAAGACTGCAGCAGCGCTCACATGAAGCACTCACGACTTCATAAGTGGGATATAGTAATTTTCCGATAGCACGTGAAGACAGCAGAGAAGCGCTCTCGCTCAGCACAGTGGAGTGCATAGTTTTGTTAACTTTGTGCTTTGTTATTTTGAGTCATTTGGGACGCGGTAACACATGGCCCTCTCACAATATATTGCTTTAGAGTTCTATCACTTTTGCCGCTCAGAAATGTTCACGCAATCAAGTTCAGCGCTCCGGCACTACGTGCGTACCGCGCCAGAAGTTCAGCGCTCTGACACTACATGCGTGCCGCGCCCGAGCCCAACTGAACCGCGCTCTCGCCCACCTCTTCCAACCGAGCCAGGGATGGCTAAACGAACCGTGCCCGAGCGTGGCACGGAGCGATCACCCTAGTCAAACACAGGGGCGCCGTAAGGGGGGGGGTTAGTACGATTCTAAGGGCCCAACGATGGAGGGGGCCCCCCGAGGGGGAAACACGATTTCTACCGAGGGCGACCCCCCCGGAACGCGGAATGCGATCTGTATGGAAAGGAAAAAGCAGTACTTTTAAATTTAAATAAAGTGCACAATACACTACTTTTGAATTCCTTATTGAATTTTGTGCATAATGCGATTAATCGCAGAAAATCATATACTATATATACTATAGTTATATATAGAATATATATAACTATATATATATATATATATA